TTGTAAGTAAATGTTAGGTGAAGCGTAAATGAACTAGCACTCTGTTCTATCTTGAACAAAATATATTATTTCCTGAGCACCTATTAGAATTATAATTCTATTTTGATTTATCATTCCGCTATAGCTCCTTCGCCAACCGATCATGGAAGGGCTGAACAATTTCATAGGAAGCTACTTGAGCATCAACTTTGCAAAGCATTTGAAAGGTTACAACAGTTGAAATCTATCAAGCAAAAGATTAGGTTTGTTTCTATCTCAATTATTTTGATAGGTCCTCCAAGTTGCAGCTATCATTTTTGAAGGCATCTTGTTCTGATTATTTACCGCCCCTGGTACAGAAGGAGGCAACTCATGAGATTGCACAAGTAATTATTTTGATTCTACTAAAATTTAGCTGGAACTAGACATTTCTAATATGAACTCAGAATATTTCGCAAAAAAGAATGATTGCAAAGAGCTGCTCAAGAATGTTGATCACATCTGCAAGACCCTCGGAATACAAATGCTAAATTGCAGTCAAGACAATTTGGACAATTATGAGACTTATTGTTTTAGCTAATTTTTTTAACTCTTTATTTGCTGTAATCTTTTCCATTTATTATTATTTTCTAAGAAGTTTTGTCTTTGAATGTTTATACCGGAAGTTGGGTTTGTAGCAAAGGCAGCCGTTGTTAATGACGCGAACGTGTCGTTTGATTATATGTTACTTTATTTGCTTAGTGCCTTCATTAAAGATGTAAATCTTAAACTCAAAATTATCCTTTGAGGCAAGTGCTACCTTATTTTTTTCCCTTTCTTCTAAATTCTGATCTTATTAATTATTTCTAATCCTGCCTCAGCCATTTTGGAAGCTTGACATTCCCTTTATTCTCACTTTGGTTATGCCAAGTTTATTCGAAATAAATTGTCTTTCTGTGTAAATGTGCTATTTTTTCATATCATTATTTATATATTATCTTAGCTAATCTTATGCTTTTCACCTTCTAGACTCATTTGTTAATTTATGGGTGAACTTAAGCGGACGTCTTTTCATTTTGACAAGCCTGGTCCGCTCAAACCTTCATCTAAACTTTATATGACGGTTCAGGATCGAATTTATACATCTGTTAAGGAAGATTCATTGTTCGACATGGTCCCATATACAAATGAACCTTCGGGGAATCCGGGTGATCTCGTCTCTCTCGCTTGGCTGCAGAAAGGCGACATTTTGCAAATAGCCCCACTTGATGGCGAGGAAGAAATAAATCGAGTGAGAATAGATTGTGAAATTAAACACAATATGATACATACAGATGAAATGAGTCCCAGTGTTGGCATTCTGCAAAACGAAAATGATGGCTTCATTCCCTCTCCTAATGCTATCACTAATTCCCTACAAAATCAACTCAGATTAGCTGTTTCATCTTCAATTCCACGTCTACAAACTTGTAGGGCAGCCGGTGCTATTCACTATTCGTCTTCGTTTACCCTTGACCCAGGAATAAGTTTTCATCAAGGACCAGGACTATCCAAACCGAACTATAGCTATACCCATTTAATTTTTATGGCTATTGAATCAACACCTCAGAAGTGCATGACGGTTAATCAAATTTACAATTGGTGTGAGACAAATTTCCCTTTTTATAAACATGCTGGCGCAGGATGGAAGAATTCTCTCCGCCACAATTTATCCATCAACAAATCTTTTAAACGTCTTCCACGTGATGGGCGGGTAAGTACATTTACAAACTTATCTAATGATTAGCCGCATGTTTTTTTTATTACTTAACTTTGATGCCATTTGGGTGACATTGCATGAATTTTCGATATGGTACTTACTTTTTATTATTATATAGTCCGATTTCGCAGACTTTATTTTTTAGTGCTCGATCAAACATCTTGCATGGTAAAATTATTTTCTGAAATCCATGATAATATTCACAGATATTTTTTGCTGCTCAACTTTATTTTCAGTAAGTTTATTTGACTTGGAGCGTTTTTCGGTTTTTTCTTGAAATAACTTCGCTCTTTTCTCAATCTAAATATTTCGTCCATTTATTGATGGATACAGAATGACACTTGTTGGCTGGGGAAAGATCCAAATATGAATATCAACCATGCTGCTGGTGGACACACTTTAGAATCAGAAGATCTAGAGGATGATGAGGTGATAGTTTTTGCCTCGCTACTCGGACGAGACGGGACCAAACATCCCATCTCTGTATTTATGCACACGCACGGACACAGCTGAACTGATTTTCACTCGTGCACTTTTCGTTTATTGTTCAATGACTTAGTGTTGTCCATGCCAATAAGTACTGTTTTCCACCAATCACGCACCTAACTTTTTGTTAAAGTATCTGAACTTTACTAGCTTTGGTATAAAGAGCAAGTTTTGTATTGCCGTTGTTCCTTGCTTTTTATGTGCAATTTATATTATTTTTTATTCATGTCGTGGGTTGTTTTTATGTTTGTAGTTAAGGAATACTTCGCATGCTTTGACGTCAATGGTGTCCCCATCTATAATTCTTTCGCTAAAGTATTTGTATTATCTATTCTAGGGTCCTGGCCGGGGAGCTTATTGGGCCGTAGAACCTCGTGAGAGGCCAAATCTTATAGATGCATTGAAGCGTAATCCCTGGAATCTTAATGCGTTAGCTGCGGCGGCTGCATTACAAGCTGCTTCTAGCTCCGATATGAGCAACCAAAATAGTGTTTCTAACGGGCCCAACAGCACCTCTGCAAATCTTGCTGCTACTCTCACAAGTTTAGGTGCCACTCATTCACTAACTAGTCTCCGTGGTGGTGTCAAAGCCCATCCTGCCTTGGGTCTTGCTCAAAGTGCTCCTGGGCACCTTTTACGCGGCGCCAAGGAGTTGTCACATTCTCTCGGCGCTGCTCAACTTCCCGGTCATTTACGGTTCCTCTGTCCTTTCGAAGTCAGAAGTTCATCTGGTTCCAGCGTTTCCGTTTCCACGATTTCGACCTCTATTTCTCCCACCAACATTGCATTAAATGGCCTTACCTGTGAAAATTTTGCAGCCCAAACAGGTTATTATTTTACGTTTTCTTAATAAGCATTTTTAATTTCATGCAATTTTTTTGGCTTTCTATTGCACATTACTTGAAATTGTTTTTGAATTTTTAAATGTCCAATTTACACAATTGCTTTACTATCCATGGGTTAAAAGTTCGGAAGACTGCTTATATTTATTTATTCTACTTATCTGTCTGATCTCTGAGTACACTATTTTGTATTGACCACATGCCTTTTAATATATATTACCATTATTGACTCGTGTCGTATATACTTGACCTATTTTTATGCATATTTTACGAGCCTACTTAATTCAAATTGGTACTGTTAAACATTTTTCAAGCTGATATCCAACAGTTTCATGAACGCTTTGGAATCAGATTCTTTATTTTATGTACAAAAGTAGATCTTTCGATTTTTTATTTCTGGGTGAATGATTACTAAAGTATGTCATCACAGGGGTTAGGGGGACTTTCATTTCGTGTGAAAGTGCATGGAGAAGTGATTCGTTGGTCGATCTCACCAGATAAGGAAGGATAAATCTTGATAGATTGATCGAAACCTAGTTTCTCTTCGTATCTACTATGTTATAACAGTTTTTAATTTAATTTAATTTTCCTATATGAAATTGGCC